AATCAATCAGTCTGTCAGTCAAAATCAATCAGTCTGTCAGTCACAATCAATCAGTCTGTCAGTCACAATCAATAGGTCTGTCAGTCACAATCAATCAGTCTGTCAGTCACAATCAATCAGTCTGTCAGTCACAATCAGTCAGTCCTTCATTTATCAATCAATCAGTCTGTCAGTCATCAATCAGGCTGACAGCCACCAATCAGTCTGACGGTCATCAATCAGTCAGCAATCAGTCTGGCAGTGTATAAGTGGATCATTCACTCATTGCTGTATTGGTCATGCCTTTATTGATCTACAATAATGAATAGCACTGTGTTTGTTACTTAAAATAATGATTGTTTGCTTTTGGGATGCCATTGGTGAGAAGTAGATGAAAGGTGGAAGGTTTAGGGACTTATTAGGTGGGAACGAGTGATATGAAGTGGACATAAGGCAAGAGCTATGCATTGTATGAATTATTTTAAAACTATCTGCTTAAATTACCTCAAGGTTGACAGACTAAATCAAGAAATTAATGAACTGCAAGAAAGAGTTCGAGTTGCCGTAGGCAGAGGAACAGAGGTAAGTATTTTGCATAAGTGGGATGGGAAACATACGTTGCTGACTTAAAGCACTGCTGCAGGTAAACATTATATAGCATTTCCCACTCAAAAAAAAAAAAAAACTGAAAAACTTGTGGCATGGCCAGCACCTTGTCATTTACATTTTGGTTTGGATCTGATTGCAAAATTCTTAAGAAATTTTAACTGCACCTTAATGGTTTAATTTGATGACGTGGTGGCCATCTTGAATCGCAAGGTATTGTGGGTTACCCTGCATGGGAGGAGCAAGACAAAACAAAGATGCTGAAATGACAATTATTTGAGAAATTTCCTTAGTTGTGGAACTGTTCATTTTTTAAAAAATTTATCTCTTGTCAAATTAATTGTTATGAACTGTAAATGTCAATCAACACCATTATTGTAACAAAGCTTTGTCTATTTGCCCCTGGATGACGCACAATGCCTTGTGATCAAGATCACCTGGAAGTAAATATCAGACTTAAGAGAAAAAAGTTCTATGGATTTATCTTGAGTGTTGTTTTTAGTTGGATGCACGTAAAAGTGAACTTGAAAACCAGCTGAATAACAATCTGATAAGACGTAGAAACGAACTGGTTCAGGCAATGGAAGAGATCTCACTAGAAAACAAGAACCAAATATTGGAGACACATCAAGCTGATCTGAAGTCTGTGTCTAAAGCTATCAAGAAAGCTAGGGAAAGACTTAAAGGTAGAGATCTTCATCATCATCACCATCATTATCATTCAAAACATAACTGCAATGCATCAACTTCATGGTATCATTATCTTCATTCATCATCTCTGTCTTCCAACTTATTGCCACTACCATTATCATCTTCATCATCAGTAGGGGATTGTCTCCCAGTTCCACAGCCTATCTCTGTCTGGAGGCATAACACTAATGTACTAACAAATCACTCATGATTGTAAGCTGCTAATAGCGGCTTAATATGAAGCCTGTAAAGTCCTCCACTGGTCATAAATGTAAAGCGCATTGAGACATTGTATAAATGCGCTTTATAAGAACCTCCCATTATTGTTATCATCATCATCATCATCAACACCATTCTCATTTATACTGTTGTCAAGTATGTCAAGATTTGACCATAGAGCTTCCCCTTCTGTTTAAATATCATGACACCACCATCATTATC